GTATTTCGTTCTATCTGATATCTAGAATTCTTTGATTAGAAGGAATAATACGATTGATACATCAATACATCCATATTGGTTTATTATTGGCTCCGATGGAAACTTCGGCTGACGATACTGTGTTGTCACTTTATTCCCTTTAGAACTTTATCAAAATAAATGTATCGTATGTCATTTATGACTGAGCTCATCTTGACTAGTTAGTTAATACTGATCGCCTATGAACTTCGTTACAGACCCGGCTCTGTAGATTCGAATACTAGCTTAAACTGATTAAAATATGACGCGTATCTATCATGTTTATGTAAAGATATAAGCATATCAGCTTTATCATTATCAATTCAATCAGCAATTAAAAAAGAAGTATTAAAGTTTTGAAATTTCGCTGTCTCAACTTTAAGTTTTGGACATATCTTTCTCGTATTTCTGAGCAATCTATTCTTCACCATCATTTTCTTCAAATTTTCAATGTAAACATTTGCACAACTAAGACTGCTTCCGAAAAATTTGTCGAGCAATGTTGCCATCGTATTTTTTAGTAACGAATTTCACTTCTCTGTATATCATGTGAAAACTTTAAAATAGCTCTTGCCAAAAAAAAAACATTAAAGCGTTTGAGAATTGATTCTCGAAAAGTAGAAAGACTATATTCCTGAAATCTAATGAACAGTGTCGAATTGATTTTAACGCATTCTTAATCATTTAAATTAGTTCATACTCTTGATGAGAAGCAATCAAGCAAAGCGACAGAAAGAGAGAAAAGAAAAGAAGAAAAAGAAAGAAAGAAAAAAATAGCCTTGCTTTTTTTCAGTATTCATCTGTTTACACATTCTATGAACGAAAAAAATGGTAAAAGCATTTGAAGCATATTAGAAGAATGTTTTTTTTCTTTGTTTTCAATGTACTTTATTTGTTAATCTATTTTAATCTTGGTATTTGTACTTTTCAAAAACCCAATATAACCATGCCGTCATGACTCAATGCAAACGTAATCGACAACTTTTTCTTACATGATAAACTTCCATATTTGCCAAGACATCAAGGCATATACCTGAATAGTCGTGTTATTTTTTATTCTTATTGTAGAAAAAGAAAAAGATGAATTCTATCGTTCATATATTGCTTGAGATAAATCGACCTATGTAGTCTATCTATACGAGAAGAAAAACAAATATAACTAGAGTGAAAGTGATGGTATATTCACACTGCCAACATCACCTATCCTCTTCTAACATTAGAAACATTTATGTATATGTGAAAGTGAAATTTAATCAACTGATGTCAGATGTGTATCGATCGCTCCTATTTATTACTGAATTTTTTAGGTATGAGACAAAAATCAATAGACACATACATATTTATTCTATCGATTAAAAGTGAATAATATTTCTTTATTATTGTATATTTTCATCTTATAGCTTTTTCTTCATTGTTCTCATATCTTTGTCGAATGTTCGTTGTTACTTTTGTTTTTAATTGTCTGATGAATTACCCTGCTGTAGATAATATCATATTTTTGCTCAATAATTCTCAAGAAACGTGACAAAATATAGCAACACGTCTACGATCTAAAAATCGATAGTTCAAATAAAGTTCATACAATTCAGGATACATTTGCAACTTGAAGATCTATAATGTCAAACTACCATAAAATTCAAGAAAATAGAGCAGAAATGAGTGTCTGAGTGTGAGTGTTGTTCTGACTTTTTGGTTTTCCACAACCACATGCTATGATTGCTTCAAAACATTCAAGATTTTTCAACTGTTTCACAAATTCTATCTGATGCGTTATGCTTGAAGTTAATCATCTGGTTAGTGGCTATAGATTGACTGACAACGTTCTAACAGATAACAAAAATGTCATGCATGTCACACTGAATTACGACGATCGAATGAGTCATGATCGTCATAAAATCTGACGTAAAACGATTTCCTGTTAACATTTATCATATAACTATGAGATCAGACAGCTATTGTTTTGTTGAGTCATAAGAGAGAAATTTCGAAAATTAAGTGTAATGCGCTGATGTATACAAATATCAGTGTATATTTTTCATCCTAACAAAATGAAACGCAAAGAATTACAAAAAAAAGAGAAAAAAAAATATCGAAAGGACAATTAAAATACATGTGATCAAGCGCACATTCATGAGAAAAAATTATCTACCTGATGAAAATATCATGGTTTATTGATCCATGTAAACAAGCGTTGATAGGAAAAAAAAGATCAATTACCTTCGTCATGGATAAATACGAAGCAAAATCGCTTGCTAACATACAAAACAAAACTCGCACAAACGAATATCACTTTTTAAGTGAGTATATTGAATTTTTTACATAGTCATACTAGTAGTAAAACAAAAACTGAACGTCAAGAGTCACCACAAAGAACAGAAATGATGGGAAATGGAAATGAGTATGGATGTCATTCACCTATTGGTTTTAAGTAAATATAAATCATAACAAATTTATATTATTTTAAATATACACTATTTCTACTCAGTTTATAATTTATTAAAATATAAATTAAATTACATTAAATTACTCTATTTCTTTGTCATATTTTATCGGAGTCAGACGAACTAGAAAAAAATGCGTAAAAGCGTATTGAAATTCGACAAAAATGAAATCGTAAAAAACCACACATGTAAACGTCTTCATAACGCCTTAGGTGTGTGTTTCACTGAATATGTATTTGTACTGAAACTTTAACGTATCGTGAAAATGTAAAAATGTATACTTTTCACGATACCATTATGGATAAAATACGACGTATGTTTACGCGTTTTGTATTCGCTGTTCTTTTGAGTAGGATAAAATATCAAAAAGAAATAGAATTATTGTGTTTTATATATAATTTAATATAGTATAAATTAACTGTTAATTATTTGCATTTAGAATAGACTAAATTGCCTATTATTAAAATTGATTATATATTAACAGAAAAATGACACGTATATAATAGACTTTTTCACTTATATATAAACACTTCAAAAAGCTATTTGAATCATGACGAACTGAATCGAAACCAAAGATATTGAACGTCAAACGATAGGCCTTTATTCGCAGAATAGGAGAAGCATCACAATTTTTCAAGTACGACACATGTGCAAAAATTTCTGTCCAAGATAGATTATTTATTTTTCTGTGTAAGCATCGGTCAAAGAGCGTAGCGATCGGATGAGTTTCATCCACTGACATATTTATCTTTCTAGAAAAGAATCTAGTACGAGTACAAAAAGCCTCATGAAAAAGCATTTATGTCGATAAAATCGATCTCTTTTTACTTATTTATAACTTATAACCTAACTACCAATCAATCAAGAGTAGTGATATGAACGCCATTCACACAATTTGAGTTTCTTTCTAGGAGAAGCGTCCAGAGCTGACGTGCTATTCTGACATCTTCATGTGATTGATATTTCGTGAGAGAAACTTTTAATTCTTCATTCTCGCTTCTAAGCTGTGTATTATTTCCAAACCGATGTCTGTAATACAATGATCTCCAATGATTGTCAAATAAAGAAAACAGCAGAAATAATGGCAGTCTCAGTATTTTTACAACAAATGCGTCAATTTTCTTTCTTTCAAGCGAGACTTGTTTCCTAGATCTATTTTGCAATTCTATGCTAGACGTGTGTCGAAAGCTTTTCTGAAGAAATCCGAGAGCTGCAGTTCTACTGGAATAGTCAACATGTCAAAAAGAATAAACTTTCGAAATCTTTTCCAAAATAAACTCCAGAAGATCTTTTAAAATAAGATGGTGTACATGTGGTTGTGGATGTTACTATTTATCTTCTGTTCTTGCACACCCACATCTCATCCAGCGCGATGACACTCTAGTCATAGTGCAGATGAAAAGCAAAGGAAAGTTAGAAAGAATAACAATACCATCAACGATATTCTAAGGCTTTGACTACATTGTTGGTTCTTCATAGCTATAATTTTCAATTTGAACTAGCGGTACTCTAAAAGTACCCGGACATTTTCAGTCACTCTCACCGCTTCTCAAAGTCGATTTTGGCACAGCCATATACAAATCGCATGAAAATTTCATAATCTATTGGGTCTGTACTAGAGAGACTATTGAGAAATTATTAGACCTATAACATGACATCTAAGGAAGGTATTCAACAAACAAAGATCAACAGTGACTTATCTAAAAACCCAAAATTCTCTAGGGGTCTTCATTTCTATAAATTGGGTTTTCCATTTGAAAGAGCATGTCAGGATGGAATATATGGCATAGTCCTTTTTTTTTGTAAATTTTTACTTTTCCAAATTAGAGAAACTCGATCACACGGCCAACCACCTAAAGCACTGCCATCTTTTTAGTTATTGAAATTTTCATGTTATTTCTCCACTTAAAAAGTGAGAATTAAAAACATGTTGTGTACTGCATTTTATCCTGACATACTCTTTCAAAGATAAAGAATCAGAAGTACAGAACGAAGGCTTGCAATGAATTATAGACTACCTGATAAATCTTTGATGACCTTCTTTTGTTGAATATTTCACCCAGACTTCACGTTATACGGCTGACAGTTTCATCATAGTCTTTCCAATACAGTTCCAATATATTCTGACAATTTCATGCGATTCTCATGTGCCTGACCCAAAGCTGGTTTTAAAAAAGTGTAGGAGTGGTCTGAAGTGTCCAGATACGTTTTCGAATACCTGCATATAGAGTGTTACATTTTCCGTCTACATAGCGATTATCTTTTAGAATATACCAATGACAAAGCTTTGTATCATTTTACAATTAATCATCTCAGTCGTGATGATCAAGAGTAGCAGGGCTATTTCAAGTCCACTAGCACCTTTTACCACATACAAACATTCGATTGAACTTCAGGAAAATGTAGCCGATCTCTGGTGGACAGTCGATGACAATCAACGAGAAATCACATTCGAATTACACATCAAAACAAAAGGGTGGATAGCATTGGGTATTAGTCCAGGTAGGCTTTTACTTTTATTCAATTTTGAAATCTTCATTTATGATCTGTCTGTATTCAGCGGGTGGTATGAAAGATGCTGACATCAGTGTGGCATGGGTTGATGAGACAGGCAGTGTATTTATTCAAGTAAAAAGAACTCATCTATCTTTACTATAAGATCTACTTTGTCTATCTAAAGGATCGCTATGGAATCGCCAATGAACGCCCTATGTTTGATAATACCACGATTGATTGGTTTGCTCTTCAAGGTCGTGAAGCAAATGGATGGACAGCTATTCAATTCAAGCGTTTACTAGACACCTGTGATCTCATGGATGTTCCAATCAAGGTAATGTCATATGCTTGCAAATAGGGAAGGTTGCTTTGAATACTGAGCGACATAGTGGTGAGAATTTTTCCCAAACTTATCCCAACTCAACTCAAAAAAGTTGCAAGTAAAACCACTATTGGCTGTATCCGATAACGTATAGCTAGTTTGTTTCGTGGCTTTTTTTGTGAAACGAATGACGAAATAAGACTGCCACGAACTGTACGACTAGGTGTAAATAGGGTCTAATAGCAATTCAATCATGTAAAAATCCCAATCTTGTGAACTTACAGATATCTGGATTTAGAATTCGGTCTGTTAAGCTACTGACTCCAAGTAATTCTATTCACTAGCCGAAAAGGTTGTTCGAATCAGAGCGTTTTTCTAGATCCTTCAGTACTAGTTAGTCTAGCTTTTTCTTATACATTCATGAAGCAGATATTGAGTGCGAGTACAGTCTTCAGTAGTTCTTAACAGTTTTCTTAATAAAAACCAGTTAATTCGTTCACTTCTATACATCTAATCTATCAATATTTAGCCTGGTACCAATAATCTTATTTTTGCTTATGGTATGACCGATCCTAGTCCTTCAGGACCAAATGGTGAAATCTCTTATCATGGAAATCGACGCGGTTCACGTACTATTCCTCTTCGATCATATCCTGATCCACCATCCGAAGAGACATATGCTGGACTTGACTACTTCGAATTTCATTTAAATAATGTTTGTCACATTTCCATGTCTTATTGAAGTCAGTATGCTATATATGTATTGTATCCTCTCTTTTCAGTATGTTGTTCCACCAGCGGATACCACCTATCATTGTAAAATATACAAAGTTCCGAGCCATTATTCAATGAAACGACATGCTATTGGTGTACGTATCATTATCTTATAATAACTTTTATTTTTGTCTCATTTTACATAGCAAAAGACGATTGTTGATTCAGCCAACTTAGATCTTGTTCATCATCTACTAATGTATGAATGTGATCCAACAGCTCAATTTGATGATAATAACTTGCCTGACGATTTGTGTGATTCGATTTATCAACAAATAGAACCGTGTGCATTTAATATTGCAACTGGTTGGGCTGTCGGTGGGGACTATGTAAGATCAAAAATATTTCCAAAATGAAAAACAGAAACAGAAACAAACTATTTCTAAAATAGATGCTTGCATATCCAGAAGAAGCTGGATATCCTGTTGGAGGTAATTTCCCTATCAAATATTATATGGTTCAAATACATTATAGCAATCCAAATCAACTTTCAAGTATGAAAGTCAATTGATTTGGAATGAAAATTGACAAATAATTTTCGATGTTTTACTTAGATCGTAAGGATAGTTCAGGTATTCGTTTTTACATTGGAAAAGAACTTCGTCAATATGACCTTGGCTATTTGAGTTTGGGCACTGACGCAAGCGCATTAGGTCTGGCTATTCCACCAAAAGTGGAGCGATTTATTGTTGATTCGTATTGCTCGGCAAATGCTACAGTGGTAAATATGACTTTTTTTCTATATATCTTCTAAATATTTCATCATGGATACTGTTCTAGAATTTTCCCGAAGAGGGCATCACAGTTGTTTCTGCTTTTCCACATACACATTTGCAAGGTAAGTTCTGCATGACCAAGGGAGTATTGTTTTGTTTGCAGTAAAAATGTATTTTGTAGGTCGCACGGTGTGGACGAAATTGATTCGAAATAAAACAGCTGTACAATATTTATTCGATGCAGAAGCCTATGATTTCAATTATCAATATTTTAATCGTTTACCACAACCGATCAAATTATTTCCAGTAAGATAGAATCGTTTGTCTCTCATTCGAGAATCGATGTTTCTTTTGTAGGGTGACGAACTCGCTACAAGATGTATCTACAATACAATGAATAAGAATAC